TAGGGATCATACCATATGACTTAAGATCATACCATATGATTTGGGATCGTACCATATGACTAGGTATCATACCATATGACTTGGGATCCTACCATATGACTTGGGATCATACCATATTACCATATGACTTGGAATCATACCACATGACTTGGGATCATACCATATGACTAGGGGTCATACCATATGACTTGGGATCCTACCATATGACTAGGGATCATACCATAGTCATCATTTAGTCTTGTCCAGGTCCTGAGCTGGAGGTATATATTTGTACCTGCATTTGTCGAGACATGAAATAATTGCAAACCTTTTACTGGAATTCCTTGTTGTAAGGGAGGAACCTTCTAGTGAAGTCCAGAAACAAGGGCCCAAGAAGAAGAAGCAGCCCCCTATGGCACCCCGGAAGGAGGCCGCCTGTCTACCCACGAGTCTCACCAGAAGTATCTTGTCTCACTTCTCCAAGGCAAGGGTGTCCAAGGAGGCAGTGGCAGCCGTGGAGAAAGGGTGAGAGTAAAGCTGTAGGCAACTTGAATATAGGAAGTGTCCAGAACTTGTGGTTTATTGAGTTACACATGAGTAATCTGTCAGAATTCTCTGGACTACAGGTCCGTCACTTGGTGTGAAAGCGATTTTCTGACGTCAGATCAAATGTTCCCCCTGTAAATTTACAGCTCAAGTTGAACTCATATATCAACTTAAGCAAATTTCTTTGTAGACGCTTCATGACATCAAATTCACTTTGAATTCTCCTGAAGTTTGAGCCGGCTTTAGGTCTGTTGCTATCTCCTGCGATTCAGGGCCAGATCTTGCAGAGACACATACAAGACGCCCAGCACTTAGGCACTCTAAATTGTGGTTAAAAATGGCAAAAAAACAGCAGCCTACCTAGATTGTTGAGGCAACTTGTGTTTGTTAGGATAATTCCAAAGTGTAACTGTAATTGGAGAGGCTGTAGGCATTATTAAAAAAACAGAGGAACTTTGTATTTAACTTAAGTCCTGTCAGGTCATTTACAGTTTGCCTCCAAACAAGCCTGCTATTACCACCTTCAAAAAGCAAAATTACTTACGCAGAATAAGATTTGAAACACTCCAAGGAGAATTCTCTTGGCCATGCTGTTATTTTTAAGGATCTTCATGACCAATGTTATATGTACCAGAATTAAGTTTAGGGCCCACACAATTGAGAATGTTCAAGAAATGCCACAGAGAAAGTTGTGTGCCAAAAAAATGTTCAGTAAGGTTTTGAGGAGCAGTAAAGGTCATGCGATCAATTAGAGCAGAAGCTGCACAAGATGTTTTAGTGAGGAGTGAGCTTCCCTGACACATGGTTTTGGAAGACTTTTTGATCATTTTTTTTATCACAGCGTGGAGACATTTTTCAAGAGATTATCCAATGATCTGACGGCTTACAGCCGCCATGCCCATCGACAGACCATTGAACAATCTGATGTGGAGCTTCTCATGAGGAGGTAGAAATTTTGTTTCTGTGGATTTATTTTTATCTTAAATGCAACATTTGCTCTTTCCTTTTGATGTCGGGAGCTCTGTTAGTCAGGAACGTAAGCATTACTGCAGTTTAAGGCTGGCATCAGTGTAATGTCCATTAACCCATAGCCGCAGATCAATGGGAGGATTAGTGCATACCACACATGCATTCTATATATCATACCCCTGCGGTTTCTATGTGAGCCTGCTGCTGGCTGGGGCTCTGCATACTGCAGTCCAGCAGTCACGGTCAAAATAATCCCGGCAACAAGGGGCTAAGAGGTTAAAGGGTTTAGTCTATCATTTGCAGTTATCTGAAAAACTGATGAAATTGTTGTTGAAAAGCATATTTGGTTTAAAAAGATGGTTATTGGACTAAACTTCCTGTGAAATATTCTTTCTGGCAAGCTGTCATTTTGAAGAAAACATTCAAACTTTGGAAAGTTGCAGTTAGGAGCAAGTACATGCATTGACATGACACACACACGAATATGCAGTTACTAGAAATTGTCAGGTCAGTACCTGACATCACGTAGGTGCATTTGACTGAAATGCAAGAATGTGTCCTAGACGCTGAATTCAGGCACAATTCAAAGCATGAGTTGGCAACTTTTGATCTGAATTCAAACTCCTAGAATGTTGTTTTTCTCAAAATATACATGTACAGTATTCACCAAGCTGAGACTTCATCAGGTTTGTTTTTAGGCACCTTTCTCTCGATTTTGAGTAATTTTGTTGCCTTCAACGAAAGTAATGCACAAATGATGGATTGCACCTTTAAAATTTCTTGTCCCACCTGTAGGCAAGGCCTGATCCGAGATCAGCAATCCATGTACGCTCTGATCGAGAAATACCTACCCATGGAGTACAGGCAGGAACTCATACCTATGGCCACGGCAGGGAACAAAGTCACACCCAAGCCATCCCACTGATTGTCCCAACTAGTACATATACCTACCCATGGAGTACAGGCAGGAACTCATACCTATGGCCACGGCAGGGAACACAGTCACGCCCAAGCCACCCCACTGATTGGCTATAATGTACCTACCCATGGAGTACAGGCAGGAACTTATACCTATGGCCACGGCAGGGAACACAGTCACGCCCAAGCCACCCCACTGATTGGCTATAATGTACCTACCCATGGAGTGCAGGCAGGAACTCATACCTATGGCCACAGCAGGGAACAAAGTCAAGCCCAAACCACCCCATTGATTGTCCCAACTGGCACCCATGCCTGGAGTACCAGACAATGCTAACTACAATGTCTAGGAGCGTTTTCCCCCAACACCCTGGACCTGCATTTCAACTCAAACACCCCGACTGCAGGGGGCAGGCTTGGGCTGAAGTGTCACAGGACAGTGCCTTGCGACAAAGGGCAGTATTGTTGGGAAACTCTTCTGAAGTAATCCCAATAAAATGTATGCAGTAGGTCAGTGTTATTTTACCGTGCTGCTCACAAACCAATTCAAATGAACTGTTGTATCCATAATGGGACACTGTCACAACTAAATAGTCATCAGGGTGTGGATTACACTGATGTGGGCCTTTTCAGCACACTCGCTTTCTAATAGAAAAAGCGAAAGCCAAAATGGGAACGAGTACAGGCCACAGACTATTCTCCGTGTCTTATACTGCTGTGTCTTCAAGTGTAAGTTGTCGTGTAACAGTGACCATGAAATGTTGGACACTATACTGTAGGGACTATTCTCATTGCCAATGCCTTTGGTCCAGCTCTTACCTTTCAAGACACTTGAATGTATTACATGTAACTTACATGTCAATTTTTAAACACAATTTTGCTCATTTGTTTATTCCAAACATACTTTGTCGCTTTTAAGTGCTCTTAATGAATGAAAATCCATTGCCTCAGGTTTATCCGTGGATGGAGCCAACTAATGTGTCAAAATTTGTGTCAAATTTGTAAATTATGCCTTCTTTGTACAATTTTTTTGAATGAAAAAAACTGCTTAGTTTTTCTTGGCCGTTTGGAAATTCGTTTTTGTTTGTAAAATAAACTTCATTATCCACAAGTTATGCAAGATGGTTGTCTTTATTTGTCCCTTGGTAATTCTGATGTGAACTCGTCACCATCTTCACCATTGTCATAATCCTCGTCACTAAAACTCTCCTCTGAGTCAATTGCTGTCTCATCTTCAATCTCGACGTCCCCTCTCCGGCCGGATCCATACGACTCCAGCTCTCCCCTGTAGAATGCTGCTTCCTTCTTGCCTGTCTCGCCCATCTTTTTCTTTTTCATGAATGCTCGCAGCTGTTGGAATCGCTTGTCCGAAGCTCTGTCTTCAGCCAACTCCCCGTGGATCCCTGTAAACGGATTGCTGACGTCCCCCCTCTTGATCAGCCTGTTCAAAGCATCGTGGTCAATGCCAAACAGGCTCGGCTGGGCTTCACCGCTGGCATCCATCTCGTTCTTGCCAGATTTCTGGATGAACTCCATCCTCCCACCACTATTGGAATTCTCCACTGCCGTGTTCAGTTCCACCTCCATCAGTTCAATTTCTTCCTCTTCGTCGGGTCCAAAATCAGCAATAGCAAGCAGCCGGTCTATCTCGGAGAGGTTGGCACTGGCCTTGTCCTTCAAGAAAAAGATGGGAGGTATCTTTCCCAGCACTCGATGGGAGATCAAGGCACGTCTGTAAATTTAAATAGAAAATCCACAATTGCATGTATAACATACACACGAAGATGTGTACTGCGATAGATTGCAAGAATCTCTGTTGTGTAGCTTTTAGATGAATCCAGCCAGCTTTAACTGGACATTCCCCACGGCCCCATTTCATGGCAGAAAGCAACGTGTCGGGTTCTGTGCAGAGAGACTACAACAGTGGCTCCATACAACAGCCATCTCCTGCCATTGGCGGGGACCACTGCAAATGACCAGTGATTACAATGGCCACTGCATTCGTCGATATCGTATCTCACATACACGTAGGTTCAAGAGTGGCCTGCTTTCTCATTTTTGGACTGGAAAGGAGAAAAAGTACTGCCCTTTTTGTCAGAAAAGGATGATAACAGGTCAGGTTGTGTTAGATTGGTGATGTTGAACCAATATGGAATGTACACCTGAGTACATATTTAATGAACAAAGGCTTGGACCTAGGGTGTGTGGAATGATCAATACAAATGCCAGGCTATTTAAAGATGCTCTATCGTGGGTTTGATCGAGGTGCATTTAACATTTTTCAAACAGTGCTATCCAGCGACCCAAGTGTTGCCGAAATGGAAACCCTTCTGCTATCAGTGGAATGAGGTGGTAGTTACTGATCTCATAATCAATCGATAAACTGGTAGTGTTTCTTGCACTAACCTTACTGGAGGTCAGTGCCTACGAGTGCATTACAGTGTGACGAGAAGGCGCCTTTAAAACTTTTGGGTTGAATCTTAGAATTATAGGCGGTCCTTATTTCAGGAAAAGAACAGGTCGAACCTCAGGGGGCCTTTGTGTCTGTTCAGGACCTTTTCGATTCTTTCGTCGTCCTGCACCACACCTGTTGATTGCCAGTACACTCGACACGCACTCATATCGCCCGCTACTCGTACCTGAGGGGAGAAAGGATAGGTGAAATAATGCCTTCTATCCAGAGGTGGTTTTTGAAAATCGTGTAACAGAGTATCAAGTAACCTCCTATTTGTTTTATCATCACGGATCTTAAAAATAATGACTCAGAAATGAGCTCAGACACACAGCCTTTTTAGACAACTCAGCTTACAAGACCAAGCTCCAATTTTGAGCAAAACTCTTCTTGAAGGTACACTGTACGTGGTACTGTGTTCCTTATGAAATTGCGTTGGTCAGTGTATTGCATAATCTAGCAAAGTATCAATACCAACTGTTTTTGGGAAAAAACCTTTGTCCGTACCAAGAATGCTACATAGGAAATAGCTTCAGGAGAAATTACTCAGCCACTGACAGCTGGGTTGATTTCAAGGGCAAATCACACAAAAAAATAGATTTTTATACTTGACATCTAGTCCGTTGTTGAGAACAAAATGCTGTTGTTGACGGCAAAAAAGAGGAGAAACTGGCGAGATCTTAAAATCTTGAAATTAAATAGCAATATTGACATTGCTTGCATCACTGCATCACAACTGGCAAAATGGCTGGCCTACAGACAGTCTAAGGTAATGTTATTACATGTCTTTTGTAATGGCCCCCGCCAATGGCGGACAGACTTTGGATACTATGAACATTGCCTGAGTATACTGTGGCTCAATTGCTTGAGTGCTTCCAAGGTACTTATACATACATACCACATAGTTGAATCAACCGTCACTGGACATTACAGATGGCCCCCTTTAATGGCAGAAATCATCATGTAGGGTTTTGCCCTGTGGGTCTCTTACGGAATAGTGTCTTTGAACAATAATCATCATAGTGCTTACTGCCATAGACGAGGGCCGCTGCAAATGACCAGTAAGAGCGTTACCATGGCCACCATATTCTTCTATACGCAAAATGCTGTCAACTCTGGGACTTGACCATCTTACCCCTGACACCGTGACCTGGAGTTCCTCCAACTCTTCGCTGATCAAGCTCGTTGTCATCATGTCATTGATGTTGTCAAACAGAATCTTGTTGTATGTCCTCAGCCGGATGCTGTCTTCGCTTCTCATCTTGACCTTGCCACCCGATACGCCTGTTGCCTTGGTCACACAAAAATGAAGCAGCAAACTGCAGTTTCTCTCACGTACATGTACATGTATTCAGTCTGGTCACTACACACATGTACTGGTGCGATAAGACAGTGAAACAGCATGACTTGGACTGGAATTTCATACTTCAGGTTTTGTTTTCTTCAGGTCAAATTTTCTGATCAAACACCAGTGCTGGCAGTGGACCAATTTGTTAATCACACAGATCTGGATTACAACAAATGATCCATCGTTGATTCACTGACACCACAACCCATCTTATGGAGGTGCGAACCAGTGTTGGGGTCACTGATCGAGATCCAGTTCTGTGTGAAACAAATAGGCACAGTGATGATCAGGGGATGCTCCTCAATAGAAACTGACAACTTACCAATCGACCGAGCTGAGCGACATTCATCGGATCATAGTAGAATTTTTTCCTGTAGGGTATGAAAAAGCAGAATCACCTAAGCATCTACATGTATCTGAAATCTGAACTGCACACGTCAAATTGACGTTACAGTCGTTGGTTTATTAAAAGACTTTATTACTGCTCAACTGGCGTGCGATTTACAGGCTTTTATGCAGAACATGATAAAAGGAGGTGGGCCTAACTTGTCAAGATTTGGACCCCATGTCCACCTGTCATGTCTGTGTAGAATTGCATACACTGCCCTCTCCCTAACTCACAAAATTCACACACGTACATTTCTGGAATGAGTTCCACGCACGGACATCACTTGACACCCTATGCAATTGCCACTAATGCCCAGGCCTACTTTCTATGTAAACACTTCAATATTTGCCCTGCTAAATTTGAAATTTTAGAACATTTTCACTTACTGGTGGCTGCACTCTGATGCCAAATTGGCGATATCCGTATATGGAACTCTTATCATAATGTAAAATTTTAATTTGGGCCTACCTACACATCATAATCATCATAAGCCAAATAATATTGTTCTAATTCTCTGTTTAACACGTTCAACACATGTTCAATACGCAAGTCCAGGAGGCAAAACTCACTTTTTCTTGGCCAGCAATTTGTCGAGCTTTATGAGACTTTTCCTGCCTTTAAACAGATGCAAAGAACTGTGAAAGTTGCACAGGCCAACAAGAGGCCTACGCAAATGACATGAAGTCAATGCTTTAGAAACCTGCACAAAATGTGTCATGTTTATGTGACTGACCAAAAATCATATCGAAAAGCAAAACATCACACCGGTCAACACAAGGCAAAGATTAGTAATGAATAACTATGGAGGGCGCTCTTTTAAGAGCGCCCTCCATAGTTATTCATTACTAATTTTCAGTAAGCGCAAAGTCAAGATGGCAGCGCACTGGGGCAATGAAAATGTGTCGGTCGAGTATTTTCGGGAGTCTCAGGTGAGGTTCAAGATGTGTGATTTCATTGTATTTACAGAGGTGACGATTTAAGATAGTAAGACAGGTGTTAGCGTTTCAAACAGTATTTGTGTGTCAGTCATTTCAGTAGAACGTTTATGCAGGTCGTACGGGTTGGGCTTGACTAACAACATGACTAGCGTAACGGCACTTTGAAGTTCGAGTTAGAGAGAGTCACTAACTCCTTCCTTGATATTCTGTGTACCTGACGTTGTGCAGTTCAGGAAACAGTCGCTAGCATTGGTGTGCACCCAAGGCCTAATTCGTGAATGGTACACTTGATTGGAACGTCATGATATTGTCCATGTTTTTACTGAACAATGGTATATGTATGAAGCACTGCAACAATGGTACATGTACAGTACATGTACATGTATATGTTGTACAAGTACATGTCCATTGCTCTCTTTCGTGTAGTTTTGCCACTTACATAAACAGATATTCAGATTAATTCAGATATCTCAGCAAAGTTTATTTTGAAATGATCCCTTTCTGTACCTTACATGTAGGCCACAGCCATGGCAGTGGATATCACTGGAGGGTTTGCCCTGCTTGCTGGGTAAGATGAATTGCTTGTAAAGTACATGTACTGGACTTTATTCATTAGTTGGCCGTGTTGCATTTGACAGTGAGGGTTAGTCTTTTTTTTTTTAACTTGAAAGCATCAAATGAAATAAATTGAAATTTCCTGTCAAATTCGTACAGCTCTGTCTAATCTGGTGAATGATTTGTTATTTGAGATAAAACTTACTTGAGTGGTTTTTTGCCAGATTTGGAAAAAAAAGACATTAGTCTGATACCATCTCATTCAACCGTTAATTATTTATTAGACATATTCATTGAACAAGATCAAAGTGGCTTCCTCAGGAATAAGGTCTGTTCTACACTGTTGCTGCGTGCATTCCACGAATGCTGTAATGTGTCAGGTACTTCCAACAAATGTATCTTAAAGAAAGGAGAAACTGTTGGTTATTTGTACCCTTCAAAATTCACCCAAAGTTTGCAGGATTAAATAAATTTCAAACCCAACCACTGTTGGTCACACAAGGTATACATACAAACCAAACGTAAACAGGGTTTGATAGTCCTAGAAAGTTGAATATCAAAGAATGTGTCTCGGGTTTTTCAGAGGAGGATTTAGGAGGAGTCAAGAGGATACCTAGTGAAAATTTTGAAGGAGTTATCGTTAAAGAACAGTGCACCTCACTTTGTGAAACATGACCCCTGGCTGGTGGTTAATTATGTAAATGTTAATCAAGAGTGTAGTTTTAGACTTACCAACTGGTGCCGCTAGTGATGAGAGTGGATTAAATTGTCAATCAACCTGGACATTGCAGGTCTTAGTAAATTAACATTCTCTCGGAATGTGACTGCAGATTGTGGTCACACCTCCAAAATACTGAAAATAGCATGTGACCAGACCCTTCTTTCCAAGGTGAGGTGTGGAAACCAGTAAAATGGAATGATCCACACCAGTGCCTCCCATTCTGTTGGCATGGTTGGTGAGCAGCCCCTTCAGATATCCTGCGGCATGGCTCAAGTTCAATTTTCTCTACCGTACATGTATGTCATTCTGGTTTTGCTTCAGGCGGCGTGGGCTGGACGTTATCAGCCTGGACCATCCGGGTGCCCGCCACCCTCGCGTCAAAAGGAAAGGGATGATGAAGTGGGACATTAGCGTGGTGGAATGGAACCCCCATGCTGATCGACACATGGAGTTTGTCACAGCGGTGAGTAACTTATAAAACCCATCTAGTGTGGATGGCAGTGCAGTGCAAACGTTGGACGCAATCACTCAATCTGTGTAAGATCGGTCGACTATGCTGAACGATGTCATTAATTTCACATTCAGACACTTGTTCTTTCTTCCCAATTCACTGCTGGGAAAGATTATTGCAAGAAAGGGAGATATAGTCAGAATTTCATGTGGGATCCACTAAGAGCACAATGTGATTGCGCAATCAGGCTGACAGACTGATCGTGCCCAACATAAACAGGTCCTATAAACATGACAAAGAACCTTCCACTGCTGACTGGGGGCATGATTCCCGGGAAAACAGGTTTGTGGCATCTGACTTGTATGGCCTGAAAAAATTTGCCTTCATCAGATGTAATGAAGGGGGTCTTTAAGTATAGACAGAAGTGTTGATCAATCTGTAGTCTAACCATTCAGAGTGACATAAAGCTGCTACCTGGTAGGTGCACCAGGTGACACACCTTAGCTTTCAAAAGGAAAGGCTGGATCATATCACCCAAGAACACGATAAATGAAGTGATCTTGATGTGACAGAACATTCGCAGTGAAATTTGTGAGTTGAAATGTGTTGACATGGTTGAACTTTTGCAAATTTGCTGTGCAGGTAGTTGATCAGACATCACAAAATCACGTTCATATTTGCTTTTGCACCTTGAACTGGACAGGGAGCTGCAGAACAGCATTATACATGTAGGCTGGACTGCATTAAACAAGGCTTTGGTTTGACAAACGTCCTCAAGGAGCTTGGTTCAAGTCACAAGGCTTTGGTTTTAGTTTGACAAAAGTCCTCAAGGAGCTTGGTTCAAGTCACAAGGCTTTGGTTTGACAAAAGTCCTGAAGGAGCTTGGTTCAAGTCACAAGGCTTTGGTTTTAGTTTGACAAAAGTCCTCAAGGAGCTTGGTTCAAGTCACAAGGCTTTGGTTTGACAAACGTCCTCAAGGAGCTTGGTTCAAGTCACAAGGCTTTGGTTTTTAGTTTGACAAAAGTCCTCAAGGAGCTTGGTTCAAGTCTCAAGGCTTTGGTTTTTAGTTTGACAAACGTCCTCAAGGAGCTTGGTTCAAGTCTCAAGGCTTTGGTTTTTAGTTTGACAAACGTCCTCAAGGAGCTTGGTTCAAGTTACGGGGCTTTGGTTTGACAAAAGTCCTGAAGGAGCTTGGTTCAAGTCACAAGGCTTTGGTTTTAGTTTGACAAAAGTCCTCAAGGAGCTTGGTTCAAGTCACAAGGCTTTGGTTTGACAAAAGTCCTCAAGGAGCTTGGTTCAAGTCACAAAGTGTCTACTGTGTCAGTGTACTGATTCATGTCTGTGGTACCGTATCAGTGCATTGCCATTTGTGGCATTTACATGCAGATCAAACGCCTATTCTTTTTATTTGCTCAGTCCAATCAAGTAGCTGATTTGTATGTCAGACGAGAAGGAGAGTGGTTTCAAGAGCATTCATTGAAGGCACATACAAGGGCCATCAGGTAAGCACTTTTACCAACATTAAGGGGAATGTGGTTGTTGATTTATCTTTTTGTTCCTTTTGCTCATAGTGCTTATGAAGG